CTAACCAGAAGGCTGGCAGTTCAAATCCACCAGCCACTCCTCAGAAGGCAGTTTTGGCAATCTACTTCCATAGTGATACCGCCTTGGAAACCCAAGGAATGGTCACTATGATTCAGGTCTGACTCACCAGCACATAACAACAACAACAATATGTAATAGATCACATAGGGGGCACAGTTATGGAAATTTCTTAGACATATCCAAATACCTCATGGGACTGATTTACTGAGACCATAGTCTCAGAGGACATCTAGGTCAATTGGCATGACAGAGGTCATAAAGATAATGTTCTACATCCTAGTTTGGCAAGTAGCATCTGAAGTCTTAAAAGCTTAGGAGTTGGCCATCTGAGACACAGCAATTGGTCTCTTCATGTCTGTAGCAAAGGAGAATGAAGGAAACCAAAACCTCAAGGAAGCAATTAGTGCATAGGACTAATGGCCTACACAACCCACAGCCTCCTCTAGCCTGAGACTACAAGGACTAGATGGTTCCCGACTACCATTTTCAGCTGCTCTAACCAGGGACACATAGAAGGTCCTGAATAGAATAGGAGAAAAACGTAAGAACAAAACTCAAATTCATGAAAAAGACCAGTCTTACTGGACTGATAGGGACTAGAGGAATGCCTGAGACTTTTGCCTTAAAACATGATTTTAACCTGGAACTGAAGCATTCCTAGAGGTCCCTTTCAGCCTAATAATAATTGGCCTATACAATAAACAATAACACCAGTGAGCAAAGTGCTCATTAGAGCAAACAACTACATGACACCAAATGGGGAACATTTGTCCAAAATCAAAGATGAGAAGGCAAGGAAGGGCAGGAAAACTAGAGGGATGGAAATAGGGAAGGCAAGGTAGAAGAGGTGAGAGTTTTGACGCATTGTGAGGATAGCAGCCAAGGCCACAGAACAATATGTGTATAAATTGTTAAATAGGGAACTAATTTGCCATGTAAACTTTTACCTGAAATGCAATAACAAAAAGTAATAAACTAAATTTTCTAAAAGTTTTTACTGATAGTTCCCTATGTTATCAATTATTACAAAAAAAACTATTTAAAATAATGCTTTGTTTTTAGTAAAAATAGCTTATGTTAAATCACCACAGAAAAAATACGAAGATGCAGAATATAAAAAAACTGACATATGTAAACCACAAACAAAAGGAGCACTAGAGCAAGAAGGGAAGGAAGAGAAAGCAGCCCTGGAGAAACCAATAGAGTTGGAAGAAGAAAAAAAGCAAAGTGATGGTGAAATTCTTGAAAAAGGTATGATGATGATGGTGATTAATAATGAGGACGAGATCTGTATCTAACTGTGTCTTTAAGTGAAATTTGTAGGTGAGTTGGAACAGGGGCATTCAGTTTTTATTTAACTTGACTTTACCAGCCACTCTACAGAAGGAGCATGGGGCAATGTAAAGATTTACCGCCTTGGAAACCCAATGGGGGTTACTATGTCAGAATCGACTTGACAGCAGTGGGTTTGGTTTTTTTTTTTTTTTTTTTTTTGGTTACTGCAAGAGGAGCCCTGGAGGTACAGTGGTTAAAGCACTTGGCTGCAACCAAAAGGTTGGCAGTTTGAACAAACTGCAGCCACTCTGCAGAAGAAAGATGTGGCAGTCTGCTTCTATAAATATTTACAGCCTTGGAAACATTATGGGACAGTTCCGTTCTGTGTTACAGTGTCTCTGTGAGTTGGAATTGAGGCAGTCACAGTGGGTTGGGCTGTTTACGTGTTGGTTCAGTCCTTTCAAAGTGAAGGCTGAAGGCAAATGTATATAACATTAAAGGGCAAGTAGGAGTTAGCCCTAAATCATATGTTAATAACTCAGGGTTTGCCTGCATTGGTCAGTTACTTGAGAGCCAGCAATTACGAAGCCCACTTGCCATAACATTTTGCAAGGACTTTTCTTGCTTCTGGGAATGTTGAAGATGAAGTAGAAGGTATAGTTCATGGCCTTTATATGAGTAATAGGTATGAGACATTTGATTGAAGCAACCAAATTAACACCCTGTCTTCCAGTGGGTGATATTTATCAGGTACTTTATCACATAGAATAATAATTCATGTCTGAAAGGATTATTGACTCATATGTCCCCTACCACCTTACCTTAAATTCTTAAAGGTGTTAGAACTGGAAAACTTGAGGCTTTTTATGCCTCTTTTCTGAGATTTCCTTACACACATGTATGTAGAAATAAAACTGGTGATATTTATCAGGTGTAAATCCAAGTCTCAAACCAAGCTCTAGATTGAGCTCTTTATTATTTAAATTCTGCTTGAAGCAGAATTTGAAGTAGATAGCGAAGCAACTGATTTAAAAACCAGTTCTAAAAAAAAAAAAGGGTTTACACAATACACATATACATACTCGTGTGTCTGTGTATCAGGATATCTAAAACAACAGATTCCTTAAATTGTAAGCAGTTCTCAGAGTTTTGTATTTGTCATGTCTTTATGCTCAGTATATTGATAACACTATTTAGAAGGCATTTATGTACAGCTTCCATTGAAATAATTAAATATCAAAAGGGGCTTTCCTTGTAGAAGGCACTTTCTTGTATCCAGGCAGTCCCACATTATAGATGTGGGAATACATAGGAGATGCATAGTAGATGGTTTGTCAGTTTTCTCTTCCCCATCCCCATCATTTTGGTAGGGTAGGAGTTTGGACTTTATATTATATTACTCTTTGTTGTCAGCTGCCATAGAGTTGGCCCCTAACTCATGGTGACATCATGTACAACGAACAGCTCTAAATACTACCTGGTCTGTGCCATATCAATTACAGATTGGACTGGTGTAATCCTTAGAGTTTGGATTGGCTGATTTTTGGAAGTGTATCACCAGGCCTTTCCTAGTCCATCTTTGTCTGAAAGCCCTACTGAAAACTGCTCAGCATCTGAACAACATACAATTCTTCAATGACAAAGGGTGGTAACTGTGCATTAGGTGTATTGCCTGAAATGTCTCCTTCATGAAAGGCTAGAGTTCTACCACTGAACTACTGATGACTTTTTTTTCCTCATTTATAGCTTCTGTTATTGTTGACAGGTGATGTCAAGTTATCCCCAAGCTGATGGTGACCCCATCCACAATGGGATCAGATCCATTGGATGTTTATTGTCTGATTTTTTGGAAGTAGGTTGCTAGGCCTTTTTTCATAGTCTGTCTTAGTCTACAAGCTCTGCTGAAACTTGTCAACCATGAGTGACTGTGCTGGTGTTTGAAATAGCAGTGGCATGGCTTCCATCATCTTAGTAACACACACAGCCACCATGGGACAGACTGACAGAGGAGTGGTGCTGTATGGCTCTCCTCGGGTGCACTTAACTTTGGTAATAATAGTTGGATATTTGATTAAGTAGAATCCAAAGAAAAATTAGTAACTGAAAAAAAATGATAATATACACCAGAGGACAATAAATAACATATTTGAGAATAAAATATATTGAAGAGTAAGAAATCACCAGAGATTAAGGGAGATGTTACCAATACATGAAAACAGGAAAGATGACATATTCTTTGATTTTCATATGACATGTAGTGTGAACACTTAATATTTCTTTAATCCTAGCCTTTATCTAAAATTTGGTGATTTAATCATAAAATGATAAAATAATGAGTATAATTAATTTTAAAGAATTTCTAATTGAGGGGATTGTTTTTAAATACTACAACTTAAATAAATCCTTTATTTAATAATTTTCAGTACCAGAATTCTAATTTCATTGAGTCTCTGCTTTTAATAAAAATCTATATTCTAGAAGAGGAAGGTGAACCTGAGGAAAAGAGTGAAGAAGAAATTGAAATCTTAGAAGGGCAAGAAGAAGGTAATAAATCAAATAAGTCTGGATCAGAGGATGAGGTAAGCAACTCTAATGAAAAATAAGCTAGTTTCTATAAAAGATTGCTATCCATAAAAAGGAGCTCTGGTAGCATAGTGCCTAAGGCAATTGACTGCTAACCAGAAGGCTGGGCGTTCAAACCCACCAGCCACTCCTCGGAAGGAAGGTTGGGCAATCAACTTCGATAGTGATACCACCTTGGAAACCCAAGGAAAGGTTGCTATGAGTCGGGTCCAACTCGACAGCACATAACAACAACAACAACATCCATAAAAGATTAATTCAATTAAGACCACAAGTCTTGTTTGTGAAGGATTTTTTGCCATATTTCTCCCACCTTGGTTAAGCGACCTATTTCATAAGCCTAAATGCTGTTTTTAAATGTATCAATAAAGGAGGCAAGAAAATACTATAATTTCTGTTACCATAATGCTTAGTGAAACAGATTATAGTTTACAAAATCTAAACTGAGCCTTATCTGTAAAAATTATGACTTTATCATTAAAATACTGTATTGAAAAGTTTAATGAGCAATATTTGTGTATTTAAAAGGAAATCTTGATTATCACAAGCTTTATAGCTATTTTTAAAATGTTCCTATTGTCACAATATTTTAATGTCACATTTTGAAATAATTCATAGTGTTGTTTGGCTGATAAGTATTTTCTCAACTCTTTAGTAAACTAATTTTTCTCCATTAACTTGATGTTTACCATTTTTTGCATCATAATATAAAATGGAACATTCTAAAATGCCATTTTTTTTTTAAATCAGTTATTATGGAATCAGAAATCAGGGCATAATTCAGAATCAAAATGTTCTTTTACTCAGCAAATACCCTATGTGTGTGTGTGTGTGTGTGTATACATCCATCCATACATACATATATATATATGTTTTCTATATTTACCTGTTGTTGTTAGGTACCTCAAGTCAATTTTTGACTCATAGCGACCCCATGTGACAGAGTAGAACTGCCTTGTATTTTTCTAGGCCACAGTCTTTTACGGGAGCAGATCATCAGATCTTTCTTTTGCAGAGCAGCTGGATAGGTTCAAGCCATCATACTTTTGGTTAGCAGTAGAGTATTTTTAACAATTGGAACCACCAGGGTTCCTCATATTTTTCTAGATAACAGCTTTTTAAGAGCTCTGTAGTGTTATTCAGGAGCTCTGGGAGCACAGTGCCTAAGGCACTTGACTGCTAACCAGGAGGCTGGCGGTTCAAACCCACCAGCTACTCCTCGGAAGGAAGGTTGGGCAATCCTACTTCTGTAGTGATACTGCCTCGGCAACCCAAGGAGGGGTCACTATGAGTCGGGGCTGACTCGATGGCACATAACAACAACAACAACATAGTGTTACTCGGGAGTTCTGGTGGCATAGTGCCTAAGGCACTTGACTGCTAACCAGAAGGCTGGAGGTTCAAACCCACCAGCTACTCCTCAGAAGGAAGGTTGGGCAGTCTCCTTCCATAGTGATACTGCCTCGGAAACCCAAGGAGGGGTCGTTATGAGTCGAACTAACTTGACGGCAGTGAGTTTGGGTTTTTTTGTATTGTTACTCCTAGGAGCTCTGGTGGTGTAGTGGTTAAAGCATTTGGCTGCTAACCAAAAGATCAGCAATTTGAACCTGCCAGATTTACAGCCTTGGAAACCCTATGGGGCAGTTTACTCAGTCCTAAAAGGTTGCTATGAGAATCAACTTGATGGCATTGGATTTGGTCTTCATTTATAGTCTTACTCCACAGAGTCACGATCTTAGTCACTCACTCAATGTGAGGTGGGATAGAAGTACAGTTCTATTTGGCATATGCATGTGATGAAATAAACTACCTTTCTTTCTCTTTTATCTATTTTATTATTATTGTTTAATTGCTTTCTAAAGCTTAGTACACACACCTGGTCATTGGTCTTAGCTGCCCTATGTGTTTTTAAAGAGGCTTTGGAGACATTATTTAAATGCATATCCATACTAGGGGGAGACCAGTGAAGATCATTCCTTCCAGAGCTGAGTTTTAAACAGTTTCAGCTGTCACTCTCTTAATACTTGCAGTCATTGACTTGTACTCTAGTTATATTTTATTTCACAAATCATTTTTCCTTTAAAAGTATCTTAATTCCATCTTCTAGACTTTTAGCTCTCTTAACACATTTTGTCAGTAAGGTCCAATAAATCAATTCTTTGCAGAGTATAACCCTGAGAAATAATTAAAACTTTTTATGTATAATACCATAAAACTCCAAAAAAAACAAACTCACTGCCATCGAGTCAGTCCCGACTCAAACCCTTCCTTGGGTTTCCAAGCCAGTATCACTACGGAAGTAGATTGCCAAGTCTTCCTTCCGAGGAATGGCTGGTGGGTTTGAACAGCCAGGTTTATACAACCTGAAAAGAATTCTGTAAAACCAAGTCAGTGATTTATTACTTCCAAACATATTATGATGAATAGTCCATGCTCAAATATCCCACTTAGAAAATGAAGATATAGCAATTAACTAATTATGACAGTGAAATTAAGCATAAAATAAAATCTAGAATGAAGTTGTTAATAGTATTGCTTGTCAAATGCTTATCTGATAAGCAGGGTTATCCTAAGCACACAGTCTCACCACAAGATGGACAAAGAAAGCACATCAATTCATTCAGACATTTATGATCAGCTACATGAAGTAAAGGAATATATAGAACAACATTTCATTGTTAAGATATATTTTGGAGAATTACATATATACATTATTATTCTCTACTAGTTACCCAATGTACTAAAATAAAACATTTTCCTAATTCTTTTTCCTAGATGAAGGAAGCAGATGAGAGCACAGGATCTGGAGATGGGCCAGTAAAGTCAGTACGCAAAAGAAGAGTACGAAAGGACTAACCTATATTCAAGTATTTTTAACTTTTGAGAGAGAGATTTGGCATTCTAAAATCAGTGTGCCAGAATTGAACTGGAAACAGCCTGTTTCTCTTATATAACATTATTCTTTCAAATATTTATTTTAGTCTTTCTTTTCAGTAAAAAAAACCACTAATTCTAAAGTTACTTGGTCTTTGAATTTAGAATAAAAGAAAAATGGCAAGTTACGTATCAGATTTAAGAGATTGATATCATTAGACGTTTCAGTTTTAGTAGTTTGGAGTTAGTTTTGGTTTTTACAGAGCAAAATAATATGCAGTAGCTTCACTGCTGGTGGAAAAAATGAAATTGTTGGAATTTCCACTTATACAGCTACACCACAACATAACTGGTAGTTCTGTAATAAAAATGAAAGAGTGTTCTGTTGTACAGAGCTAAATGCAATAAAGTTTATATATGGTTGTTTGATTCTATCAACAATTGAAAGTGTTGTATGTAATCCACACTTACCTAGTTTGTGTCAAATTATAGAGATGGTTTGATGTTCACTTAAAAATACAAATTCCTTTAAAGAGGTGCTTTGTCGAAAGACAAGTCAACAGAATTGAAATGTCTGTGTGTCATAGAATCACGGTTAATAGTGCAGCATATATTACATTCAGATGCAAAGATAATAGGCTTATCAAAACAAAATGGTGTACAGAATTTTTTCAGGCTTTTATAATTGTTTTATGCCAGAATGGGTTACCCCATTCACTAAATGGCTTATATGTACATTGCTCTTAAAAATAAAATTTAAATATTTTTTTCTTAAATTACACTCTTTTTAGCAGATAAATTATTAGAGAAGACTTAAATTGTTTGATTTGATCATTGAGAAAGACCAAGTGTCATCAGTTTGACTCCGATTCATGGGACCCCCAGTGTGTCAGAAACTGTGCTGCACAGGGTTTCATGGCTGATTTTTCAGAGGTAGAAGACCAGACCTTCCTTCAGAGGCACCTCTGAGTAGACGCGAACCTCCAACCTTTGAGGTAACTGCCAAGCACGTAACCATTTTACCACCCAGGGTTAGGAAAGTCTAATGACTAATAGGTATCAATCATCATACCTTGTCATTTTATCTTGCTTTTTTCCTAAGTCATGTCTATTTTAAGGCTGTTATCTCCTCTAGCTTCACAGTTGCCTCTGACATAAATAGGAGCAACTATTAGTACTGCTCCTCTTTTTAAAGTAGTTATCAAAAGTCACAGAACTAATATATAATGCAGCTGTGTCTTTCCATGTAAAAAATTTTATTTAAGAACTTTTTATGTTTAACTCACAAGTTTAGACCCTTTGGAACGTGATGTAAAGTCTTTTAGACCAGAGAAAACTACTTTAATACTAATTATCTAGAGAACTTTACAGTAGTTGGATAAGATTTTTGATTCTTTAATAGACATATACATCCCATCCTTGGGCAGCTCCAGGCAAGTGCCCTACAACCCCCTCCCTAGCAGTGATTTACATGAAAATGAGTTTAGCATCTCCTTTTACTATGTTAGGAAAGCAAACACAGAAACATTATTCACTCCTTATTTCAGAGAATACATTGAAAATTAAATTAAATGCTTTATTCCATTGCTGTATTCTGAATTGTCATAAATTGGTGGTGGCAGTTCTTGATACATAGTTAGCCATAACTTTGTATTCATTTATACAAACTGACCTTAACACATTTTGCAAGGACTCTCTCTCTCTTGCTTTGTATTTAGAATGTTAAAATGAACTAGACATAATCATTCTAGATGAGAACATTCTGAAAGTAAATAATTTATTAGTTTTACGGAAAACTTGGCTGACAGGTATCTTATGTGGAAATTTTTTCTAAAACTTTAAACTTTTTTGTTTTTAACTTTCTTGGCTGCAGATTCATTTTAACTTTAACAAACTTCTTGAGCTTTCAGTGGTTACAATTTGAGCAACCACTTTTGCCAGTTTACTGTTAATTGCCCCCTCTGTGGATGTACCATGGCTGACAGGTTTAACCTAAGCAATGTGTACTAGATCCATGCAGTAGACAAAGCCTAGGGAGATATTATAGACATGTATATTTCCATTTGTCTTTTTAAGGTATAAAGTCTTTCTTAATAACCAAATGGCTTTTTCCTTCTACTATGCTAATCTGCCTTTATTGTTTAAAATGAACTTCAATTTTATTCTTTTCTCTAATAAAGAAGGAAAATAAGTGTATTTTGCTTTTCTTTATTTTAGTTGGCCTTTCTAGATACTTTTTTGACTTGACCAGGCAGAAGCAGCTTACCTTTTCTTGAATTTTTTTTAAGGTAGCCCTGCTTCCATTTATAATCTCTCTAGAAAGATAACATCTTACTAAATTAGTAGTCTTTTTGGGATTTCAGTCATACATTTGAAAGAGGTGACACTGCTTACATACTAAAATTAACCACTAATGATGAATTTCATGTACCTAGAAATTTAGGATAATAGTCCACAAATGATTTTCTATTCAGCAAAAAAACTATTCTGAGGAGTTAAAACAAATATATTGCAATGTACGCATCTATGATTGTTTGGTTCTTATCAATAATGACTGCATGTTTTAACTTTAACAGGATTTAGAGAGGAAATATCAGATGGTTACTTACATCTTTTATATAAATGATTAAAACATAATAGCATTTCTGCATACATTTAAATGATTTATTCTCAAATTTTAGCTTCAATGTATTTCCATAGTGTGACAGCTGTGAGGAATTTAAGACATTAAATTATCGGTAATCTAATACGACTCAATGGCACATAACAACAACACAACAATAATAGTTAAGATGAAGGTATGGTAGGAGAGAAAATGCATTTGGAAAAACATTTGGACTTTGACTTCAGAGATCTAAATGCAGAAGAGAGTAAATTTGTTTTAGAGAAGATAGGCAACAGGATAATTGGAAAATGATTTTTAACACCTAGCATAGTACTTTACCACATGTCAAGCATTTGTTAAATACAGTATACATTTGTATTAAAATTTGGAGGTGCTCCAGTGGCATAGTGCCTAAGGCATTTGGGTGCTAACCAGAAGGCTGGCAGTTCAAACCCACCAGCCACTCCTTGGAAGGAAGATTGGGCAATCTACTTCCGTAGTGATACTACCTCGAAAACCCAGCGGGGTCGCAATGAGTCGGGACTGACTCAACAGCAGTGCATTATTAAAATTTGGGGGTGTTACCAGGTTTTAATAAGGCAAGAGGAAGACTTGGTTATCTTTTGCCATAAAGAGTAAAGTCTACACCGGGCAGTTCTCTGTCACATGGGGTCGGCAAGAGTTGAAATTGACTCACTAGCACCCGACAATAACAATAACAGGTCAAACCCATTACCATCGAATCAATTCCAACTCATAAGAACCCTTCAGGACAGAGTAGAACTGCCCCCATAGGGTTTCTAAGGCTGTAAATCTTTACAGAAACAGACTGCTTCACCTTTCTCCCACAGAACAGCTGGTGGATTCGAATGACCAGCCTTTTGGTTAGAAGCCAAATGCTTTAACCAAACACTGTGCTGCCAGAGCTTCTTATGTGGTGGTAAGAAGCCATTTATAAATAATATAAACAATTTAAAACAGGATAAATTTACATTTGGTTGCAATGTATAACTTTAGCTTTTGTCGTTATTCCTCAACACCTCTACTTACCCCATTATGGAGTAAATTACGTCCTAAGGCCAACATGAAGGCACTCCAGTGATGCATTAGTTAACCACTAGGCTACTAACTGAAAGGTTGGCAGTTCCAACTCACCAGCCACTTCGTGAAAGAAAGATGTGGCAGTCTGCTTCCCTAAAGATTTACAGCTTTGGAAACCCTTTGCAGTGATTCTATTCTGTACTATATGATTGCTATGAATTTGAATGGACTCATCACCAATGGTGGAAGGCCAACATTACCAAAATTGTTATAGCACATTTGCCTTTAAATACTATTAACTTATAGCTTGTTTTTCTGATAGAGTAGCTATGAGGCATTTAACTCATTTTCTTTCAATTCTTAACCTTTCCTATAATCACATCTTCAGTTCTTTCATAATTACAAGTGGTCTTAACAAAGACTTTGGGTCTTTCCTGGTAATAATTTTGGTTTTATCAGTATGGAAGAAATACCTGATAACAACCACCAGAAGGTGTCAACTCAAGGAAAAGCAAAAATATTGGGAAAAGAAAGAAAATGTTCTAAAGAATCAAGATCAGCTTTATTTATGTTTAGACTACAAAATTAATTCTAGATGTTATAATTCACCTCTCAGGAACAGAGAGATGACATTACAAACTACTTGGAGCTACATATTTATATGATGTGTTGTTGTTGTTATGTACTGGTGAGTCAGACCCGAGCCGTAGTGATCCCTCCTTGGGTTTCTGAGACAGTATCACTAACGGAAGTAGATTGCCCCATCGTCCTTCTGAGGAGTGGCTGGTGGGTTTGAACTGCCACCTTCTGGTTAGTAGACAACTGCCTTAGGTACTGTGTTAGACTGGGTTCTCTAGAGAAACAAAAAACAGCAAAGCTTATATATATAAAGAGAGAAAAATTTATCTTAGGAAAATGGCTCACAAACATATAGAAGCTGGCAAGTCCAAAGTTCCTGGAGCAAACGTCAGGCTGGAAGCTTTTCCCAGCAGGGGCCGAGAAGCTCAAGGCTGGCAGGCAATACACCAGCTGTTGACTCCAACGTATGACAAATCCAAGATCTCCAGGATGAATGGTGGACTGCTCAGTCACGGACAGTTGTAGGCAGCACAGCAGAATCCCGATCCACACAAAATGTGTCTCTTCCCAGGATATCCCTGGATATCCTGGAAGCAGGCCACACCCCTAGGGAAACTCCTCTTGAACAGATTGGCCACTCAGAACACAGTCATCCGATCCCATCATGGGAACAACCACACAGAACTGGGGTCCAGCCAAGTTGACACACTACTCCAACTCTCACAGTCCACCCCTTGTCAACTTGGTAGTTGTACAC